CCCCAAAACCCCAAAACCCCAAAACCCCAAAACCCCAGGACATAGAAAGGGAGTTGAAAATATTATAAGATTTTGAAAGATGGAATTAGGGGGTGGTTATAAGTCCTTGAATTTTCCTTTAGAGCATGGCTGAGTGGCATATGAAAGATCTTGATTGTGATATCCTTCATCTCAAATTTCTAAGTCGCTTTCAAAATAACTTCTAAATAAGAGTGTTAATTTTAAAATTATCAATAAAGCATCCGCCGTTTATCTGAACAAATTACCCCTCTCTACCACCTACCATAAAGATTTGTCTGAATTCATATAAACTTCCTCTTCATCCTCTCCTATCAGTACACTAAAGCCCACACTAGTCCCTTGACCATACACAGACTTCAGCTGTATCTCTCCTCCTAAGGACTCCACATACTTCTTACATATAGTAAGCCCTAGTCCCGTTCCGTTCCTATTAATCTTCTTGGTCTTCTTAATCATCCCATAAAGTTTAAAAAGTTTCTTCAGGTCCTTCTTCTCGATGCCAATGCCTGAATCTCTGACTGTAAACTCCAGGAATCTCTTGGGTGTCTTCTTAACGGCTTTGCAAGAAATACGGATGAAGCCTTTGGAGGTAAACTTCAGGCTGTTGGATACTAGGTTTGTTAATATTTGCTTGAGCCTTAATCTGTCAGAATTGATCTCCAAATTCTTCAAGTCACTAGGAACATCAATCATTAGTTCTATTTTCCTTCCTTGTCATTGCATGCTAAAAATATCAAAAATTTCATTTAAGACTTCTGGGACTAAGAATAATTCTTTATTAATTTCAAAGGTACCAGCCTCCATCTTGGAGAGATTAAGGATATCCTCTATCAGGGTCAGAAGTAGAATTGACGAACTTTTACCGTTCTTCACTTTTTTTGTTAAGACTCTCACGTTGGATTCAATTTCTTCCTTCGTAATATTATTCAAGCGAAGAAAAGAAGGTCCATAAATATTAATAATTGTGTTAAAAAGAATCCTGAACTAGATTAAAAGAGTTTATTATTCAGTTAAGAGGATTCTTGAACTCGTGTGAAGCACTAGCAAACATAATCTTCTGGCATTGAATGCTATTATTGGCTTCATCTAATTTTATCTTGCTCTTGATCTCTTCAAGCCTAATAACGTCAGTATTATCTATACACACATGAATATATGAATCAGAATTTTCCCACTCGATAGCCAAAGTTTTTATACATATAATTCTCAGGTTCGAATTCTGCTCACTTGACTCAGACAGTTTAAAATCCTCTTGAGAGTAGCACCAAAGCTTCACATCTTGCTCAAATACTGATTCCTTCGTATCAATCAGCCTCTGTTGTGCTTTTAAAAACTTAGAGAGATCATTTCTGAATTCTTCATTAATCACCTCTCATTTATTATCAAGTAGCTTCAAGTCAAGAGCAGAGAGTTCTTCCAATCTCTGGTCTACATCAGTGAATTTGTCTTTAAACTCTTGGTTAATGAAGAACTTTTGGCTTGATTTAGAGGGCCAAACGACTACTCCGAAAAGTAAAATCTGAAGAATTCTCTTCGTTTGTTTTATTAATATTTTATTTCTGTAAATTTCTGAATAGAGGTTCTTGGTCTTGAGCGATAAGAAATAACTTGATAAGGTAAACCAGAATACTCATAGGATTATTGTCATATTAATCTCAGAGGTAAATAGTCCATAGTTTTTCCATGCTCCATATCCAAGATTTCACATTGCTAGAGCATGAGCAATAGAAGAATGTATCCATTTGTTAGGAATTAGAATCATAAATCAGTGAGCAACTCAGCATGAGACCATCAAACGATCACTAGGCCTGTATTCATCGCTTTGTAAGGTAATATCTATCGCCATATAAATAGCAAGGCCTATAAGAATCGGAACAAGGTATACTATAAATAGAACGCTTTTCGTCCTCATATGATTAAGACAAGAAAGGAAATCACGAAAAATATTGCTGCGTGAATGCATTTCTGAGTGTTAGCTTTCTCATTTTCTTCATTCATCTCTAAAATGTTATTTAAATTCTTACCCAAATAACTTGTTAGAGTTGCCAAAAAACAAATTGCCATGTTTCCTAAACAGCCTCTCTTGATATACGTAGAATATCACTTCTGTAGACTTTCTTGTATAGCTTCGTTCATAAAATTTTCAACATTTTCTTCATCTTCTTTATCAAATTTTCGCTCTGAAATTCCCTGAATTTAAGCTATAAGGAACTACCTTAATTGTTTCAAAAAGCCTGTTTCCTGTTTCTTTAGTATTGGCTAAACTTAAAGTTTACTAAAATATTTGCAATAGTAAATACCAATAACATCAGAAAGATTTGCCAATAAATCTTACCATCTCCATATTTCCTTTGATACCTCAAGTATTCCTTACCACTTTCCACACTAAAATAGATTATTTCCAAAAATATCCATATCAAAAAAATTTACACCAAAACTAACCCTCAAAATCCTCCCAAAAATAACACCCCACTTAAAACCTCCCCACCAATCACACTCAATCTAAATCTTCTCCCACTGCTATTTTCCTCTTCTCCTAAATCTATCCACCCTACTCTTACTCAGCCTCTCAGGATTTTCTAAACTCCATTGGTCACTTTATTCTATTACTCTAATCTAGTGTTTGATTTAAGGGGTTTTGGGGTTTTGGGGTTTTGGGGTTTTGGGG